AATACTTCGGTTTTAGAACTACGGATTTTTTTTATTCATAAAACAATTTAATCTGAAGAAATGATAAATACTGTATCTAAACTACTCAGAATATCAAAAGTTGAATGTATGAAAAATGTTCAATTAAAACACATTTTGCATAAAAACCCGCAGTCTAATTATGAGATTTTATGATGAGTAAATTGTACGCTCGGCAGTCCAGCTTTGAGATGAGCTATTAAAATACTGACAAGATAATAATGAGAACGTTATTGTGAGGAAAACGCAATGAAATAATAATTTTAATCTCGTATGACGATGGGTAAGTTATGGCAAGGAGCCTTTGTAGGAGGTCTTGAATTTCGAATAAGTGAAACGGTAAAATTTTAACGGTCCAATTATCACGGAATTAAAATAAAAATAAAACGTGAGAAGGAACGCGAGGGATGAAAGTGATTCAAGAAACATTCGGCTGGGCAGAATTGATCGACTCCTTAGTTTCTGGGACGAAGAATGCGCCGAGTTCGTAAGTGGCGATACGTACACCTATGCAGTTTCTCACACGATTACGTTTAGAAGACATCAGGCAGTTTGCAGAAATTTCAGGTCAAGATACCGTCCACACGAACCGTCTAGTTGCGAGAAGCAGGCTGTCGTTCTTGAAACTTTCATATGTTAACAGGATGCGTTACCATGCTCGCTAATGAAGTTGAAGTTGAAACAGTAGCGTTGAATAGAAAAGACAAACAGTCTATGAAACTAACGAAATTCTAATGAAGTCAAAAATAAAGCCGTGTATATTCCTCGTAATTTATGTAGCCTTAAATAAACTCGTTTTTTTTATGTAACAATATTCGTTTTTTTTTATGAATAATTTCTTAGATTTCATTTTTCGAAAAGCTTCTAACAATATCCTAGCCCTTTTAACGAGAACATAAAAGTTTCCAAGTGGAAAATTATCTATATATATTCCTTGAACTGTATCCCACGATTATATACATTGCCAAGTAAAGGAGTAAAAGCTCTCGGAAAGATTGGCCTCTTGGACGAAGCAAAAGGAATTCAGATTCCAGTGATTTTTTTAAAGTAACTAGAAATGCATAATGTAGTGAGTGCGAATGGTAGATCTCATTTAACAATTGCAATTTTACGAGTCCACTTACGGGGCATAATAAATGCGTCGAGTGAAATAAAAATATCCATGAAAAACGAAATTAGATCATCTGGTATTGCAAGTTCCTGTGCTTCGGTTTATAAAGTTATTTTTTACCAATGCCATTGAAATTGCTCACGCAATCGTCGCATTAACATGCATCTAACACGAAGCATAGATCAATACCTATAATTCCATTCTAATAGCACTGAAGATCTATACAATGCAGGGAGTGCAGCATTCAGAGATTTCAGGATAATTGCAACTGAAGGTAAATTGTATATGCCATTTGGCATCGCATCCACAACAGATCCAACAGGCCCTAAACAGCAGGTGTTTAATTATTCCATTTGACAACTGATTTTAGTAACCAGACATGTACGCGTCTCGAAACCTATACCAATTTTTCCTACGTTTTAAGCGTATAAAAAAACAACCACGTTTTGACGTTTAAAATTTTCCTTTTATTGTTTAAACGCAAAAAGTATATTCATCCGTATGCATTTGAAAGACTGCTATTCACAATGGATTTGACATTCGACTGACGTAAACCTTTTCGTGATAAACCTTCTATGCTGACCTACATATCGAGAACGGCATAAGTATTGTTTGATCTCGATTTACTCTCGTTTGCAACCATACATTTACGACTTAACAATCTAGTTTCATATTAACTCGTTAAACTCATTATATTGTTAATTTTAATATCATTAATTATGTGCGGGTTATAATTAATGTCGAATTTCAAACTTTTATCAATCGTTGACGTACACAGACTTTTATGTACCAAATAATATTTAATAACCATCACGACAGTCAATATAACAACGTGATTGGATCAGATTCAAAGATTGCATTGAATTGGATCAAATATTGGATCGAAGTTAAGTGGTTCCTATAAAAAGAATATACACTCGCCAGTTCGTTCTTCCGTGCTTCGACAAAATGGAATGATCGCCTAGATATTAAGAAATAGATTTCCTAGCTTCGGTCTTCGTGTTATTGGTGGGACACTCTATTTCACGCCATCCTGAACCGAATCCTATTACCCGTAGAGACAACACACTTAAAAGTACTCGTGAAAAATCCATTTTCTTTCGAAAAATTTTCTTTAAGGATGTATAGGCTATATACTTAAACAA